AGTACTCATGACTGGAGCACAGACTCCTGCAGCCTGTATTCTGTGAGCTGCCACACGGTTGTAGTAGTTGTCTGAAGCTGCTGCAGGTTGTGTGAGTAATTTTAGTGTCCGATACAGTCAGGCAGCCATGCACACAGTCCAGTGTCTGGCTAAGGAACGGTTTCTGCATTTGAGGTAATCAGGCAGAATGAGTTAGTTCTGAGGAAGTGCTGCTCACTGGTTGAGTGAATGGGCCCAACACTTGAATTAATTATTAAAAGCCAAGAAGTGTATGCAGCAGAGAAGTAACAAGAAATTAACATTCTTAATACATGTTCAACACAGTTCTGTTTGTTCAAGTGATCAATCTGGTCCTTCTTATAGTCAATATGGACATAATAAAGCATGAGTACATACTATTAGCATGAGTACATGGTTAGAGCTATACATATGGGGTTAATGGGTGTTATAGAATATGAGCTTCCTAAGTATATAAAATGTATATTTGCTATCAGATAACCTTAATGGTAAAGTGAGCTTAAGTAAGTGAAAAATTCAAAAATATATGGATCAGTTAATATTAGTTAGGTGGCTAGATAATAAAAATAATTTTTGTTAATTAAATAAAACAAATACTCAGCAAATTGACCATTCAACAATAACAACCTAAGATTATATTCCATGAACATAGTTTCAGAACCTCTATACAAATAAATAGAAGAAAGCGACTTGATTTGGTGGAGAGATTTAATTTTAAGCTAATATTTGATACAAAATGTTATTTTCAAGTAAAAAGTATCGACTAAAGTTTTGTTTGAATTAATGAAAAGCAAGAAAACAACAAATAAAATGGAGGGGATAGATAAACTTCAAATAAGTGCATCTCTCTCTCTCTCTCTCTCTCTCTCTCACACACACACACACACACACACACACACACACACACAAATATACAGGTAAACTGTGACTGTGATAAGGATGAAAGGGGCCAAGGGGAGTATAACTGGAAGAGAAAGGAATTCACTTTTGCTGTATTTTTAATACAAGCCTTGGCCTTCCACACATTCTTAGGGAAACAGTCAACTCTGAGTCTTGAGAGAACTGTACAGTTTTATAGCAGCAGGCCATTAAGCTCCCTGACAGGCCTTGACATCTTTCTCACACTCTGAAAGAGGTAGTCAAATACCTAGAATAATTAGATTAAATGCTCCAGTGAGATGATTTTTAAAGAGTACATTTCTGTACTTTCAAAAGAACTAGACATACTGATCAAACAGTTGTGATTTTAAAATTTGCAGAAAAATGAAGATGACATGACACAAGCAAACAGTTCTAAATACTAGCGATCATAACTTTAGTCTGTATCTCGTCAAATCAAATCACAGAAAAAAATGAGAAGAAAGATGGGTAGCACATGCAGAAGTCTGATTAAGTACCAAAAATGTAACCATCTATGGAGCAAAAGTTCAGTGGTGATGGTGTCTTGAAGCAGATATAGGCTGCCATGTATGTGTATATGAGGAATTATGGGGAATTACAACAAGCTCATGCACACAGCTTGCTGTACACACATGTACAGCACGGTACAGCTGTACAGCAAATCTGTGTATTCTCAGATTTCAAGAGTCTGTGCTGGGGAGGATGGCAAGTTCCCACACAGCCTTGGCTAAACAGTAAATTCCAGACCCAAGTTACATTTCAAGACTAACTTTCAAAAACTATTGCTAGAAAAAGCTTAGGTTTACATACAAGATGGTGTTGTCATGTTTTAGGGATATAACCTGATGACAATAGATTGTAGAATAGGCATGTTTCACATAGAACATGCAAAAAATATCAAAATGTAAAAATTATTCCATGTATGGAATAGTTGAGTGACAGACTTCAATATCAATAGTCTCAAAAGTCCTGAAAATCAATCTGAAAATACTAAGATGTAAGAAATGCCAGTTTTAAATCAATATTTCTCATCTTTCATTTATTACTTATAGTAACTCCATTGACTCTTTCTATCCATTATTATCTAATAAAACTCCCAGTCCACTTCTGATGCTCATTATTTATTAGTTGAGATCTCATTTTAAACATTGCTTTAAAAAAGAGCACTTTTTATATTAAAACATTTTAATGTATTCAAAAATTATAACTTATAACAGTTAATACATTGGTTATTAAAATCTAAATAGCTGTTTTAAGCTGCTTCATTCGGCAATGTAAACCAGAAACTGTTTAGGTTCTAGTTAATTCAATGGGTCCCTTTATTATTTTAAAATTTATTTTTTATTATTTATAAATAAAAATTTATTATTATTCATGCTCAATTTTCCCCACTTATACAAACTAATTTTTGATGTGAAGTAATACAATACAGGTTTTGGAGTCAGATGCACCCCAAACTCTGGCATACAATGGGAGATCATGAAACAAATCAGGATCATAAGTTTGTAGAAAGTATTGACATTCTTGAGACATTGAGAGTAATCACTAGAACATAACCAACTAATCAGATATATATACTTCTGGCATACATCTTCATTAGATCCTGTAGTATGGGAATATGTATATGATGAAGAGAGGGAGAGGAAAAAGTGAAATGACTGAATTGACAAGGGGTAAAAAGAAAACATTACTTTTAATCCACCTATGATCAATATTTAGAAAACAACCAATCCTGGGCTGCTCAGTCCCAATGCATGCATCTGTAGCACAGCCCCCATATCAAAGACTCAGATAACATCTGAGCAGAGAGTGGCATGATTGTAAGGGCCAGTGGACCAGGAAGTCAGCTGTGAGATTTGTGTTTCCTAGAAATGACTCGGAAGCTACACTCCTGATACATCAACAATATGACTGCCTACACAAGACAGGAACCGTTGCAATGCCAATACACAGGCTAATGTAGAAAGAGGGAATCTCAAGGAATCTTAACCCATAATAACTACAGTGATTCAGTGATTTCTTCATATATTATCTGATAAAATTCCCATCTCAATTTTGATGTTCATTATTAATCAGTGAGAATCTCATCTTAAACATGTCTTGACAAGGAACACCTTTTTAAGATGTACATGCTGTGTGTGTGTGTGTGTGTGTGTGTGTGCATGTGTGTGTGTGTGTAATTAAAGAAAAAGAAGCCACGAAATTGAAGAGCGAGGAGGAGGTGTGGGGGCAGCTGGATTGAAGAGACCAAATGATGTAGTTATAATTTTAACTGTAAAAAAAATCACTGAAAAGAAGAATGCAAATTCACACAACTTGGGAAAATCCTTGGCCAAGAAGATGAGTTTAGTAATTTTGACAAAACCACAATGCTTTCAGACTTAGTAAAAAAAACTTCTTGAGACTAAATATCTCCCTTTGGCTTAGCAACAAGGAGTCTTCTCTGTTTTAGTTAAGGAAAATTTCCACATAATCGGCTGAGGGTTTGGGAAGGATGGAAAAGCTGATGTCAAAGGTAAGAAAAGAAACATATTTTTCCCCTGAGTATTATTCATCTAATGAATATTTCACTCCTAAAGCTATCAGCCATAGTATACTGGTCTTGGATCTAAAACAGAACCGTTTATCCCTGCTCCTAGAAAACTTCAAATGTAGAAGAATGTGTTTAAATACTGAGGGAAAGTAAAGAGGAAAGCATGAACATCTGCTAGGAGGATATAAGTAATTTTACTGTGGTGGAAGTAAGTCAGTGTCACCGACTGACTGGGTAGAGGCTTTGTCTGATGTTAGACACAAATCAGATAGGGGAATTAGTTCTGAAGCAAATGCAAAAGCAGAAAGCAAGTACAGCAGCTTTCTTAATAGAACAGAAATTTATTAAACAACAACTGTGCATATCACTCACAAGCCAGGTAACATAAGCTTCAAAGTATTCTTGTGTATGCTCCTCACACTCCTGAAGAATGTTAACTTGTTATTATAATGAAGCTATAACCAGCAATAACAGTTCTCTTGACCAGCATGGAGTCCTCTTGATCAGTATGTCACCAGTTTGGTTGCCGGTTCTTGTTAATTTTTCTAATTTCCTGCTTGCTTATTGCCAAAGATGCTGCCTCCAGGCCCTCAGTTGGTGTTAGGGGATTCTTCTGGTTCCTTGCTTTCGACCAAAGTGCACAGGATCCAAAATCCATACAGTGGCTAAACTTAGAGGATAAATAGTATTTCATAACTGTGTGAGGTGATAACAGTATGGGTCTGAGCCTTACCATGTTCCTCTAATGGGCAGTCCATGAATTCCACTTTAGATGTTTTTCCTGGTTCACTTATGTTTTATGAACACGGGGTGGGGAAGGAAAAGAAAGCTTTAGAAAATAATGGCAAGGTTCTGCAACTTAACTGAAAATACCACAGATGTCACTAAAGTGCTATAAAACAAATAACATCATGACCATCATGTATTTATAGCCTTGGAAAAGTTACATTTGAATGTTTAACTTAAGAATGAGAATAAAAGCTTTAGCGTCAGGGGCTTCTTGTCGACCGAACGGAACCTGGAACCAACGCCTAGTTTGGAACAGAGTTCTTATTGGCTAAAGGATTTAAGAATTCTATTTTGGCTTGTGAAGCTAGCCTTTAATGGCTGAGCCACCTCACCTCTTCAGTCCATGATTTAGCAACCCTAAGAGCTGGTCAAGCTCCCTCTGCAGGCTAGGGGTTGTCTCTGCAGGTTAGGGGAGATGGGTTGCGAGCAGCCTGGATACGTGTGACGCGGGTTGCTGCAGCTCGGCGATGCTCCGCCTCTCGGTTTTTACCCGCTGTGCAATTCTAGGGAACTACGCATGCGTGAGCTAAGCGGATTGCGCCCGCGCGCGCGCGCATGACGTCACCGGCGCGTCAGTCCAGACATTAGTTGTCCGGGAGTTTTGCTGGTGAGTGAGCCTGAGGAGGTTTGGAATTCGTGAAGGGGACGCAGTGGACTCGACCCTGGATAAATATAACAGGAACTGTTTAGTTCATTGCAAAATTTGGTGCAATTTTGCAGAAACTCTATCACGTACGGTTAGTGTTGACCGAACACTATCGGAAGGAGTCGTGAATAGATCCGAGTACGCCCTCATGCTTCGGAGTGGTGCAGGAACGGTTGGTTTATATGCGGCAGAGTTAAACTCCGATGCTATTGAGTAGCCCAGGCAAGAAGTTTGAGAAGAAAGATTCAACCTAGAGTTCACAGATTAGCATCAATTGCAGTTTCTCTTAGGGTATTTACGAGTTTGAGGGAGAAGGCAACTCAGTTTTGGAAACAAGAAGCTTTTGGTTCAGTGTTCGTACACAATATTTTAATTGAAAAAGGAATCAAAGAATGAAACCCGTACTCCCCCTCCCCGCCTCCATGTCCAACATTTAAAAATACCGAGGTGAAGAAGTTGGTGAAATTGTAACAGATTTTTGAAGTTCTTTAAATACAAAAGCGAAGTGGATATCCTGCTAAGAAGGTTAACTCAGAAAACATTTTCCTCCTAGAAGGAATACCCATATTTTATATTCAGTATCTGTGTGAGAGATTGGTTTTTATTTTTACAGTTACAACTGAGACTGAATATATCAATGTTATAATTTTCCAGCAGATACTTAACAAACATATTATTTTATAATACAGTGGAATATGTTTCCGAGGTCCAAGATAAATATATCTGACCATACTAAAGGTTATTTCTAATTCTAATTAATAATGTGTAGCAGTATGATCTGTGAACATGAGATACCTTTTTGGTTTGATATGTTAGATTAAGAAAGTTAAACCGGGACTTTCAGGGTGATGGTGTATTTTACTTAACCTTCCTTTTGAGTAAGAGCAGTCGAGCAGTCCTATGCTAAAGAATTTGGATGCTATGATAAAACTGTGTTAGTTTCATATTAGATGTTGGGAGGAGAAAGACATAGCCGCTCTGCCTCCTGTGCAAAGAATATATCGGATATAGAAAGCTTAGGCAAGGACAACAATGAACGTAAGTATTGATAATGATTTGAATTAGTGGTAGAAAGCTTAGGAAAAAATAGTCATTTAATGCTAACAAACAGTAGAATTTAGTATTTTCTTTTCCTGGTGTGTGGCATTTTGGTGTTGTGTATATATTAATTCGTTTAATTATCACAAAGACTTGTGACATTGATGCTTTATATCTTACCTATGTAGACAAAAGTGCTGTATTTCAGAAGGGTTAAGTAATTTTCCTGAGATCAGATAGCTAACAGATGGCAGAGGTGACATTTGAATCTAGACAGCTTGTTTCAGACTTGATGAGCTAAAATTCAGAACAATTAGAATAGAGGGTCAGTGAGTTCAGGAAACTAACTGTTTTAAATTCCCGTCTATGCTGGGCAAGAGAAGAGGAGACACAGTCTTGTGCCCAGAGTTCAGGTTTGGATATTGGAGAGGTCTCAGTCTAGGGACATCTTGCCCTGACCTAACTATAGTTTTTGACTTACACCTATGTTCCAAATAGAAGTTGAATGCTTTTTGTTTTGTTTGTTTGGTTGGTTTGGTTTGTTGTTGTTCTCTTGGCCAGCTACAGTGAGTTTCCATCAAACTCACAGGCTTCTTACTCAAGTCCTCATATTGTTAGGCTGTTGTTCTGATGGAAGGTGAGGGGGAGAGAGTCACCCAAATTTCCTACCTTTCTGCTGTGCCCTTCTCTGCCTCTTTTCAGGTCTGTGAAGAGCTTGTAAATGACTGATGCCCTTGGTGCTCCTAAGTGCCCTGTACAATTGCAGAGCACATTGTTGGCCTTAACAGTCCATTAAAAATGTCTGGTAAATTTTCTCACAAATGTTAGACAGTATCTGCCAGTTGCTTTGCATAAGCATGCTCCTGCCTCTCTTCTTTCACTCAACTCTCGGGTAGTTTATTGTTGTGTATTTCCCCTGATGAGTCAAAGAAGGGTTTGGAACTTGTAGGTTGTGCAACCATTTGTTATTATTCTTTCTAGCATTTTACCTAAGTAAACATTTCACATCTCTACTTCTGAATCACTATGCATTAAGTAACTGTGTCTTTATAGTTTATACCCATAGTTTCATGATGATTCTTTTATGAATAAAGTTGGTAGATTTCTGTCTCATCAGAAAGTTGGAACTTTTTTTTTTTTTTTAGAAATATGTGCTTATTATTTATGGGACATTGTTTAAATTTGAAATAATCTTTTATAAAAAGAAAAACACAAAATAGAAACAAAACACATGTGCACACAAACATGCACACACCCATACACACACACCCTAATTCCACAAATTTGATTCAAAGAAGATAAAACTTTAATTCTAATTTTCCCAGTATCTTCTTTGGGGTTCCTATTTTAGGCCAAAAGAAAAAAAGAAAGACTAAGATATTTCATTGGTAACAATAAGTTAAGTAAGCAAGCATGTTAAATTATTAAATTTGGAGAATACATTGTGCTTATTGTGTTACTTACCCTTCCAGTGAACTAGAAAATGAATGTGGTCATTCCAGACTGGTTAAATTGGAAATGTATTTTATACAGATGACCCTAATGTAGTTTCCTGGCAGAGGAAAACTGCACACAACTTTGTTATGATTAAGTTTGGAATATTAATGTGAAAGGTAGGTACTATAGGATCTACTTTTAAACATTTTTCAATAATTAGATATCATTGTAGATCTCTACATAGAGACATTAAAAATAAGACCCAAAAGAAATTTGAAAACTTGTGATGAAACACTTTATTTTGTCTGCAATTTTGAGTAAATTATGTTTCTAAATTGACAGAATGGTTAGTTACTGAACTAGAACAAAACCGAAATTACACTTGTGTCTTTATGTGACCGGATTTGGACAGACTATCCTAGTTTATGAGCTTATAATTTCGTATTTGTAAGCTTTTTTTCTTTATTAAATTATCATTTAAACTTTCCAAAACCAAGCTTTTTTTTTTTCTGTTAATAAATGATATTAGAGGATAAAGCAAAGCTTTGGAAAATTGATTTACTTTACCGTTCTCTGTATCTAAGATAAAAGGTTGGCTTAAAAGTTGAATTATGGATGATATTTATTTTTAGGTCCTGATTTTTGTCAAGTAAGTTTTAATATTTATGTGATGACAATATATTGACTTCCTGAAAGAATGATCTAAATGAGCATCAGGAAAGATTCTCTGATGGTTAATTTAGCTTATTTAGGAAAAACATAGCATTACAACTTGGAAAGCACACTGTAGTGAACTGTGAGTGTGTATAGCAGGGACTAGGGCACCACAAGGTTTTAAAGGCAAATGAGCATCTTACTGAAGATATTGTGAGCCAGTAATCCCTTGCCAGAGACATTAGTAGCAAAGGTTACATTACTCTAGGGTTGCACAGGTGTGTGTGTGTGTGTGTGTGTGTGTGTGTGTGTGTGTGTGTGTGTAGACACGTTTGGTAAGCAGAGACCTTTCTGATAGTAACTCTCGGGTAGTTATATGTGAGAACAGTTCTTCAGAATCACCAAGTATCTTTCTGTGTTTTGCTAGTGATATACAACTCCATCAATTCTAATGCTTCAAAATCTATTGTAACATTTACTTATATATTATTAAAAATGGTCTTCTTTGCTAACTATTTTTCTTTTCCTTTCAGGGAAGACTCGGTTGCTTCTTAATGCCTTGTGGAAGTAAAACAGCTATTTTGAAGACTAGACTTTAAGGTATGTAATAAAAGCATGCTTTATTTGTGCTTACCTTTTTACTTATACTCTGAAAATAAGTAACTTTATTTATTTACATTTTTACATGGGGTTGAGGACACACATAGTCACACACAGTGATTTTTAATAGGTAAGTTTTTACAATAATGGAGACAGCCAGTATCAGTATCTCCTTCTACCTCTCATTCTTTACCATTAAATGAGATCCCTTTACTCCTACAACCAGAGTATTGCAATGGCTAACTGCTCTGTTTGTACTTTGACTAGTGTGACCTAATTATTTTAGTATCTATTTTGCCTTCAACATACTACTTTGTATATTGATGGCCTCCTATGTAGGGAGAATTCTCTCTCCTTAGTAATCCTGGCAAGCTAGAAAGTGTACCTTAGCCATTTAGACACTACCAGTTAGTCACAGTTAAAGCCTGTAAATTGTTTGTATAGTTTGGGGCAGTGAATGGGAATCAGACTATGAACTGCAAGTATCAACACCATCACTAGAATGGGCACTATTGTTAGTACTGGGAATACTGTGGAGACCAAACTTAACCTTTGCTTCTTAGAGTTTACATCATAGAGGGGAGAAGAAATGCAATGAATAGTTATAACATTTATAATACAAAATACAAATATGATCTTGGTAAAAAAACAAATTAAACTTGTGGAGTATAAAAAGACAGAATAAGTTTTGAGGAAATTGAATGTCTATGATATTTATCAAGTAAGAAGTATTGGCAGAAAATTGAAAACCGTCTTGTTTGGTTTTGGGATTGTATTAGTTGGATTTGTTAGATTACCACTGAATGGACTGTAAAGTTCTGACAGGGCCAGAGATCAAGTAAGCAGAAGGCTCAGTTATGTACCTCATGTGTGGATCTTCTCAGAGAAGCCATTCATTTGTTAAGCAAACAAGGACAAATGAGTGTAGTATGGCTGGGCAGGCAGGAGTGAAAGTATGCTGTTTCAGTCCAGGATGGGTCAGTTTCTTTAAGCTTTTATGTTTCCTCAGATGTACATCCTTGTGAAAAAATGACCAAGCCATACAGATTTTTACACGGGAAACATGCACTTGTAATTAATATCTAATCCAGAAAAGAGGTTGACATAGGGCTAGCTCTTTCTGTCACTAGCCTCCAAGGAAAAGAATGTCCTTGTGATCCATAGATTAGTTGTCTTTTCCTTTAGTTTTATGGCCTCACATCACTCTTCTACAATCTTTATGTTAATGAGGTTTATGATTTTTGGTTTCTTTTCATTGCTCTAGACTATTCTTTTCTGTGCATATATGACCATTTATCTGTTCTGATCTTGTTGTTCTACTGTTGATAGACAGTTGCAGTTTTATAGTTTTGGCTGTATCAGATATGACTGCATATAATTTTAGGAGTATTTGTTTCGGCGGACCATACAGAATAACGTTTAGTGAAGTTTGTGTGTTTAAGGCCATCCACATATTTATTGTTACTAAGTTTTGACAGAGCTTTTCCCAGAGTATTAATGCCTGTTTACATTTCTGTCAGTATTTTTATGAGAATTTGGGTGACTTCCACACTATCATCAGCATATTATATTTTTCACATTTTAAATGTGTCTTGTTTACATTGGGTGTGATTTAATTTTACAGCAGTTTATCATAGATGTCTAAAACTGTGATGAACCTCTTTTGATATGACCATGACTGTCTTCCAAAGTCGCAGCAAATATAGTTAATGGTGTGCCACGTTAACCTTTCCCCAAGATCAGGAATATAACTTGGGTACTCATTCTGCTCCTTGTCTAAGTAGTCAGTGTTGTATACCAAAGACAGAAATAGAAGGTGGATGGACCAGAAGAAGACCGTCTGTAACTCTATTAGGGACAGATGAGTCTGTATATGTGAACTCTGTTAGGGACAGATGACTCTGTATATGTGAAAGCCGTCTGTGGAAATGTAGTGTCAGTAAGTCATCCATCCTTTCAAATGATGTTTTATCAGTACGTATATCCCTCAGATTGAGCAGAAGTCTTCAAACCTTAATTCGCTGAGAGCTCCTTCTTAATTGGATGTTGGGTTTTGCTAATGACACTAGTTAGCCTTGTGTGCTGATCACTGGTTGTCTTAATTCACTATGCTAATATGCAGTTCTCCTTGATTGATTGTTTTTGTCCTTTTGAAACTATCTTGTAGTTTTAGGAAAAACTATTTTTTGGTATACTGTTGGGTTTGGGTCTCTAAATACTTTGCTACAGATTGCTAAGGCTAGTAGTGTGAAGCTTTGTTATGATGATACTCTTGTCTAAGAATGCAGTTCTCTTGAGATAGGTTGTTAGTGGCCCTTCCTCTTTATTTAAGATTAGTTTGGGGAATGATTATTGCTGCTTTAAATGTCTAGTAGACATTTTTATGGGAGGAATATTAACAATAAGTGCTGTTATTCAATTTGAGGTCAGTCTCCTCTCTCTACTTTTACCTGTTTTGACTTAAGGGAACTTTTGACAGTTTTTATTTCTATAGGAAATTGCCTCTATCATTTAACTTGACCAATGTACTGTTATAAATTTATTCTTTGGTGCATGTTAATGTTGATAAGATTAGTAGTAGTACCTCATTTCTAGCTTTTGTCTTCCTAATTTTTTTTTTGGCCGATTCTTGCTAGAGGTCTATTTAATATATTGTGTCAGCTTTTTATGTCATTAAATTTCTATATTTTGCATTTTATTATAATGCCTTCTTATGGATTGATCTCTTAACTCTGTTCAGAAGGTTTTTCGCTTCTGTTGTAGCTTTTAACATAAAGTTTCTACAGTGTCTGTTTAGTAAGTACTTTTTTCTGTGTCTGCATTTCCCTCTATTTGGATAATTTTTAATTGTCCAATTTGAGGATTTAATTTTATTTAATCATTTCTGCTAGTATTCTTCTCTGTTATTTCTAGAATTTTTGACCTTTCTGTTTTAAACATGTTATTTTTAATATTCGTATTCCTCTTCCTCCTATTATTATTATTATTATTATTATTATATGTATATGGATGTTTTGCCTTCATGTATATCTGTGCAGTGCATGTATGCACTCTCAGAGACTAGAAGAGGGTGTCAGATTTCCTGGTCCTGAAGTTACAGACCGTTGTGAGCTACCATGTATCTGCTAGGAACCAAAACCAGGTCCTGTGGTAGAACAACCAGTGGTCTTAAACTCTGAATGGTTCAGCAATCTCTCAAGCCCGTGATTTTGGTTTAAACTTGGGGCTTTATTCAGGTTGCATGTGCTTTTCCACTATGCACTTGTGCTAGAGTTTCACTGTACAGTTCCGACAGGATGTGACACTATGGGTCCTTGGCTTCTGTCTCTCAAGTGCGAGAATTATAGGCATGGCATCATGCTGTAGGAAGAGCTAAGGTAGGAGGAGTTGGGAGAGGAAGAGGAAAAAGGAAGAGGAGTAGCGAGGGCAGGCCAGAGATGTAGGAGGATGGAAAGCCATGCAGGTATCAAGAGAAAATGAAACTCTAATGCTTAAAGATTAATCAAAGGCTTTATATGTTTGGTAAAGCTCAATAACAATATGCCTGTACAGGGAGTTGTTTCTCAATTAGCTAACCTAAATAAAAATAGTTAATCCCACTGCTCTCGATACCTGCGTGGCTATCCATCCTCCTACATCTCTGCTGTCTCACTCCTCCTCTTCCTTTTCCTCTTCCTCTCCTAACTCCTCCCACCTTAGCTCCTCCTACACAATTCCTTGTTTTTGTTGATTTTGTTTAACCCATTTCATGAGCTTATTTTTTGACATGCCTTAAGTATAAACATTTAAATTGTTTTCTTCATAATTATATTTGAAAATAACTGTGCTTGTGAAAATATACTTACCAGTTTTATTATGGGTAAAACAGTTGTATTTAGTATGTTTATCTATATGCATATGTTTTTATCAATTGACAAAAACAAATCAAAATCAAAAGTTAGCAGTGTAGTAGTGTTTTAAAAAGTTATTAAGTGGCTGAAAAAGTTTACTTTCAAGTTGCAGAATAATTTTAAACAGTAATATTTATTGTTTTAAGATAGATTTGGAGTTATTAATAATATTCTCTTATAGATTCATTTTTGAAAAATTGTCAAATATATTTTACATATGGAAAAGATACATAAAATGATGCCTTTAATATTTTACATATGCAAAAAATACATAAAAAGTGATGCCTTTATAATTGCAAAAGTCCAAAAGGTATATAACTTAGCCATGTATGTAATGGAATGGTTTCTCCTGTTGCTTCATTTCAATATTTAGTATTCAACAGAAGCTTTAAACTTACATATCTGTTTCTTCTTCAATTAAACTAATGTAATTAAAAATTACTGTATTTTGTAACTCATTGTGCTCATAAGATTCTTAGTTATCTTAAAATGCATACCTGTAAAGCCCTTAGCCAAATAGTAGTCAAGGTAAACTTACAACATAAAAATAGGATTAGGCTGAGTACTATTAATACCAGGCAGAGATGTAAAAAATGGAAAATAATAATAATAATAATAATAATAATGATAATAAAGTCATTGCAATATACTACCTTAATTGAATAAAGGGGGGAACATAAAATGATTACATCAGTAGCTGCAGAAAACTTGTTTGACAATTCTAGCATTTTTCATGATAGTAGAACTCAGAAAGTTAAGAGAATACTTGCTTACTATGATAAAGACATTTATGATATTTAGCTAACACCATGTTCAGGAATATAGAGGTCAAAGGACAACATATGTAGTTGGTCCTCTCCTACAAAGTGGATCTTGAAATCAAATTCAGGTTGTCAGGCTTGGGATCAGCTTCTTTAACCGATTGAGCCTTTATTATGCAAAACTTTAAACCTATAGAACCAGTGAGAGTTATTTAGCTAATAGCTATATATTTGTCACCTAATTTTAACCGCATATTACAGTTTTCTAGTGGAACTGATAGAAAGTATATACTATTTGTTTATACTGTAGAGGCTCAATAGTCCTAGCAGTGACCATCTGCATGCTGGAGAGGCTGACAGCCCTGTAGCTGTTCAGCCAATCTGTTTAATGCCTCAGCAGTCTCTATCTTCTGTTGTTGAAAGCCTAGTATTTCTGTAGAGCCTTTGGAAGACTCAAGAGGCTGGCATCTGATATCAGTAAAGGATAGCAGCAGTGGCAGCAGCAGTAGCAGCAGAAGCAGCAGCAGCAGTGAGACTGATGCACTCACCAGCAGGAATGAAAGATAGGCAGTCAAACTGCATTGCTTTTTCCTTAGACCTCTTGGATATATGAGTCTCTGTATAGTCTTACCTAGAATGTACCACCCATTCTGGTGGAAGAGCTTCTTTCTCAAAGACCTCCCCAAAGACATGTTACTTAGTGGATTCTCAATCCAACCAAGATGAACGATAACAATTATTAGGCACTTTATTTTATCTTTTGAGTGTTCAACTCATTTGAGTGTGTTGTGTATTATTTTGAGGAAAATTTATGAATTATGTAATTTAAACCGTATTACAGAATACACACTAGACTCAAAAACTATACCTGCATATATACATGTTTATGTCACAGGACCATTAGGTACTTAAATGTTCATCTCAATTGTTAAAAGATTTACTTGTTTTATGTCTGTACCAGCATCTGCATGATGGTACCAGGAGGTGAAGAGGCCAGTAGCGGACATTACATTGCATCCCTTGGGAACTGGAATTTTAGGTGACGGCGAGCTGCCTGCTATGGGTGATGGGAACTGAACTGGAGTCCTCTGTAAGAGCAGCAAGCTGCACCCGCTCTCCAGCTCTGTCTCATCTAGATTTTAACAAAATATACCAAAACATTTATGTCCGCATCATTGTATGGCTCTTCCTAGTCTTTTTGGTATATGCACAGACACGATTCCACTGTTAGAGTAGAAATAATTTAACTGTAGTTCCTTTCTATGGTCAGATTTCAAGTGAGACCATTCTCATGGCGATTTAATAAATTGTTCTTCAATTTTTTTTCTTTCTTTTTTTTTGTATCAGAGTGGAGTCTCAAATAGAAAACTCACTATGGTGGTTTTGTAGTATTTGAAGGCCTATCTTACATGATGGAAACTGAAGCCAACATTGCTGGCACTGGCAGAGGATGGTTATCCTGGTGTATGTGTGGTGTAGTGGGTGAAGAACTTGGTATTTGTTTTTGTTTTTTTTTTTTTTCAGGCAACAAAGATGCCTAAAATAATATCTGCTTCCTGTGTTCTGGACTTGAATTTTCTAAAATGCTGAATATCAAATTTTCCTAACTTCTTCTTAAGTAAATATTGGGTTACTAACCAGCTGTTCTTTGATAGCATGTGTTCTGTATAAATTTTGTTATCTCTGTATTTCTTTCTATATAGTATTCATATTGGAAATTTTTTTTAGTTAAATAGTAAATAACAGGGATTTGTATGTATGTGTGTGAGTACAGGTTGTGTGTGTGTGTGTGTGTGTGTGTGTGTGTGTATGTGTCTGTCTGTCTGTCTCTCTGTGTTTATGTCTATCTGTGTGAGTATACATTAGAATTTAGAATGGACAGACATGTTAAATTAGACACTTGTAATCTTTTGACTAAAATCTTACTTTTGTTTAAATTATAATGTATTGCTCTGAGGTCAGTTGAACCAAATATGTTTTACTTTTTGTGAAAATTGCGTGAAAGTGTATTTATTTTGTTCCTTAAGTGCCAGCATATGCTAGAGAGAAGTAAAAGCTTCAGACAGAAACTTTTCATGGATTTAACTATCAAGAGCTCTGGTTACTTGGAGTCATCTACTCTTGTTGTGGCTTTATTAGAACAAAGTAATTGAATAGATAATATTTCTTTAAGTTTATGAGGGAAATACTAATCTGCGTTGTTTAGTTGTTTACTGTGAAGGCAGAAACATTCTCATTGAGTTGTTTGCCAAACCAAAATGTCAGTAGACAGGTTAAAAGGAACAAAGATGATAACAGTGCACCTGAGTCATAAACATGCCACACAGAGGCCAGAGCATGAGGCTTGAGTGTCCTTCTCCCCGTTCAAAAGCATTAGCTACTCCATTGCTAAAAAGGAAAAAAACTGTGTCTGCAGAATATATAACTAGAAGTTTCTAGCACTGTTAGTGCAGTGTTGGATTATCAGTCTCTTCCTCTGTGCTGAATCTAATATTGGCTAATGAAGTTGCTGTAGGAGATTTGAGAGCCCCCCCACCCCAACTTTTAACTACATTTCCATTTGATCTTACATCTTTAACATTTTTTTAAATTATGGTGTGTGTGTGTGTGTGTGTGTGTGTGTGTGTGTGTGTATAGGAATTTGTACAGGGTATGTGCATATGAATGCAGGTGCCTGTGGAGGCCAGAGCAGCATGTTGGGCCCCCTGGAACTACAGGTGCAGGTGGTTGTGTGTGCCTGATGTGAGTCATGGAACCAAACTGTACCAGGATAGAGAATGTGAGTATTGTTAAATGTACAGTTAACCGTATTTGAATGGAAGTAACATCCATACAAATAAATCCTCTTGTTTTCAGCTTTATGGTAGATCTATTCATCAAACAATGTCTTTGGTAAGGTGATACTTAATATACAGTGATACATATACATTTATGCATCTGCTTCATATTTTGATTTGCTTTATAGTTTGATTTTAATTTAGCCTATTTTATAGTCATCTTTTGCATTCGTGCTAATCCAATGGAAACAGTATCTTTACTTTTTTTATATAATGGTATTGCATTATAGTTCTGTATATACCTAATGATAGTTGATTTTTTTAACCTATATAATTTACTAATATCTCTGCATAAACTGTACATATGTAAGAAAACTGGAAGAAAACCAGTTCTTACTTTATGAAGACACACAGTTTTTGTTAGTTTAAACCACAGGCAAATTTATCTCTTTGGTCAGCCTGTATTAAAGCAGGTTGTTGTGTACAGAGTTGTGATTTAACAAATTGTATAAATAAAAAACAATTTTTATACTTACATGTTTTTTAATCAAATTTTCTTTATTTTATAAAATTGTGGTATCTAATATCAGAAGGAAGTATTTTTATTTTTACAGGTTGGATACTTACAGCTGAATGAAATTAGAAAGAAGGCAATATATTGATAAAGTTTAATATAATGTATGTTCTACCTATATGCATTCATTTATTATTAAGATGTGGTCAGATGTCTTCCTTTTATCACTATCTACTATATATTCTGAAGCAGAATATCTCACTAAAACCTTGTGATGGCTAGCTCTAGTCTAGCTAGCCTGGGTCCTCTGTCTGCTTCCAAAGCACCGTGATTATAGGTGGACCACTAAACCCACCTAGTGTTTACCTGAGTGCTCCAATTTGTACATACATATGGCTAATATTTCTCCTACTGAACCATCTTGCCAACTGTACCAGATACATTTTCATCTTCCAGGCATAATTGTCTTGGTTTTTATCCACTGCTGTAAATGATATTACATTTAACCCATTTTTTTAGGGATGGGATTATGGGATTTGTTTTTGTTTGAGGAGGGGTTGTGTTGCCTTTGTTTCCTTGGGGTTTTTCGTTGATAGGATGGAACAAGACTTGTACATGGCAGTCAACACTGTGTCTGAGGTACATCCTCAGTCCCTAGTGCTCACATTCTCTTGCCTCATTGTTTCCTTGCCCCATCATTAGCTCAGCTTTGTCTTAAGCTATCAAGACATAATAGAAGCCTTTAATGTCTTGGCTATAGATAGGTGATGTATATGCTGAACAGTTTTTGAATATGTCATCAAATTATCCTTATTGTATTAAGTCCTGTAGCTTTCTCATGAATGTTTTAGTATCTTAGGGTGACTTCTAGATCTATGCTGAGTAATGCTGCAGCAGCTGGCCATGAGACTATTAAAATTAAAAAAATAAAAAACCTTGTATCTAAGTGCTGGCACATGCTGTACTCTCAGCATGACAGAACTCAGTGAAGCAGAAAAATTATTACATCCTGGGTCTCATGAGGAGACTCTCGCTCATGTCAGTAATTAAAATCTCATCTTATCACTGCACTGGTCATATATGAACCTTCTATGTGCCCTTGCATTGGCTAGATCAGTCACCTTATAGGTTGGCATGTTAATTTCTCTACTTCTGAATAAAATTACTTCAAGAAAATTAGCTGGTTTCTATAGTAACATTTAGAAGCTACTGTGTTGTTTTACAGATGTTTCTCCTTTACATTTTGAAGTCTTCTTTAGGATAATCATTTGAAAATGAGATGAAGTATACTTAATAATTTATAGGTGTCATCATAATATTCTAAAATGTAGATAGTGATATAATTGTTGTCTTTTCTTTCTTTAGGTTCCGATGACTCCCTATACATATACACCCCTGAATCTACTTAAGGAAGGTACAATTGCCAATGTCTATGGTGTTGTGAAATTCTTTAAGCCTCCATATGTCAGCAAAGGGACTGGTAGGTATCAATGTGTGTGGTGCTTTATGATCAAGAACTGCTTTATTGATCTCAGGAACACAACTCAGATTGAGCTCAATCCTGATTTTTCATTGCCAAACAATAGTGATGAATATTCTTTGGCCGTAATTTGTGAAAAGAATGTGGTCTTCAGATTCCAGGGTCTTATTAAGCACCACATGGATACAGTTTTTTAAAGGATTCTAAATGATGTGAAAGCGCATGAACATCTGGCACAGAAATGAAAGGCAAACAGAAGAGACAATCTGGCCATAATATATACGTTAATGGATACACAGTATAGAATGTGCTGTGTATGATCTGGCTGTGCTCGGAGGAGATGTGAAAGTAGAGAGTTTTTAAGTAATTGAAGTTAATATCTGTAAGCTTAGAATAGATTGCTGCTATTGTAAAGTATATTACATGAGCCCATGATAGCTACAAAGAAAAGACCTGTGAGAAATATACATATAATATGAAAAATCAAAGTTTGTCATTATAAAAGCTAAGTGTAGAATATGTAGAAGAAATTATCACAACTTCACAAACTTCATATATGTGACTCTCACAGCTAACATAATGCTAGTCACTGAGAAGGACAAAGCTTGTCCTCAGAAATTAGAAAAATGCAACTGTGGCCTGTTTTTGGCAGTGTGTTCCACACAGTGTTAGAAGATTTAGCCAAAACAGGTGTAGTTTGGAGGCAAAAGAGAAAAAAAAAAAGGCCAATGAGGAAAGAAGAAATGAAGTTATGTCTGTAAAGAACATTATCCTGTAAGTAGAAAACTAAATGCTTCACAAAGGAATTCCTCTGAGAACTTATAAATGAGCTCAGTAAAGTTACAAAATCAAACATAACGATATATAAGCATACCAGTGATGAACAGTTTCAAAGGGTAGCAGAGAGAACTTTGATTTAGGATAGTACTGGTACTGTAAAATATTTAGGTATAAACTTAGGCAGGGAATGAAGACTTGAGCTTGAATAGTACAGAACAGTGTTGGAATCACAGATGACACAGACAGATGCAGTAATGTCCCATCACCATGGAGCAAGGGTTTATAGTCTTCACAAGTCTACAATCTTCACAGCAGGATGGAGAGTTACTGCAGTCACTAATAAATCTCAGTGGCTTTTTAAAAACAAAATATGAAAAGAAAATCTCTCTTAAAATATATAGAAGGCTCCATATGGCCAGAAACAATCCCCAGGAAGAAAAGTCTTACAAATCTACAGTCAGTAAAACAGTATAGTACTAGCAGGAAGACATCTTAGACTTCAGCACGCAGCTTAGAACAGATAACAGCAGACCAGACTCCTGTTCCACGGGGGGCGGGGGGAGGGTTATTTAGGGAAGAGGGCAAAGGTGGGGGGAGAGAAACAGAAGAAGATGGCAGACAAAGAGGAAAGGTAGAGGCCGGCCATGACCATGTGGAGAGAGGGAGAAGGGAAGGGGGGAAGGGCGAGGGGGCAGAGAGAAGCTAGAGGCAAGAGAGTAAGAGAATAAGAGAGAGAGGAGGAGGCAAGCATCCCCTTTTATAGTGGGCAGGCCTACCTGGTTGTTGCCAGGTAACTGGGGAGGAGCATACCTGGGGGTTGTCAGATAACTGTGGAGGTGGAGTTTAGACAGAATACTTACAAGACATGTATATTTCAGTGAGATAAAAATGAAATTTCAGAAATAAAGGTTCATGTGTATAGTGATTGGCAAACATGATGATTGGCAAACATGCCATGAACATATAGTTCTAAAAGGATGGCCTCTTCAACCAGTAGTGCTGGAAAAACTGCAGAGCCATACTCAAAGAAAACAAATGAACAAATCCCCAAAAACACAAGAAAAAAATTTAAATATATGACATGAAACTGAAGCTTTCAGAATGAAGCATTGAAAGTTTATTTCCCTTATGGTAGACTTGATGCCTTTTATATGACACCAAAGTAACCGGCACAAAGAGACTCAAGGGAAAGCACTAAGCTGTAGGCTCCAAACCAACGAAAGAACTGGCTAATACAACAAAAGACAACTTACAGAATGGGAGACATACTTATAAACCATGTATCTCTTAAGAGGTTCATCTAAATCTTAGGCTAGAACAAAGAAGTAATTTCAAGCAGGAATCTAAATCTTAGGCTAGAACGAAGAAGTATGTTTCACACATGAAAATGTCTTTGGGCTAGGACAGGGAAGTAGGCTCAGATATATTTTGGTCATCCTGATAAACCCTTAGAAACATGATCATGGGAGTGATCACAGGACTTTTTTATTGCCTTGCTTGTTCTTTGACCTTTTGTGTTTATTGTCTTGCTTGTTCCTTGATGATTGCATCTACTGTATTGCTAGTTCCTGAACCTAGAACTCACCTTAATACTTGCATGTAATTAAAATGGTATAAAAGCAGATGGGGAAAAATAAAATAAAATACAAACAAAAAACAAAGTAAGGGTTACTTGCAATATGTAACAATAATAAATGCCAGAGTCAGAGTAGGACATTGGCCAAGAACAAGGAAGTAAGTGGTCTTCAGGCAGGAATCTGACATTAGGCTAGAACAAAGAAGTAATTTCAGGCAGGAATCTAAATCTTAGGCTAGAACAAGGAAGTAGGCTTGAGACATGAAAATGACTTTGGGCTAGGACAGGGAAGTAGGCTCAGATATTTTGATCATCCTGATAAGCCCTTAGAAACAGTGATAAGGACTTTGTTTATTGCCTTGCTTGTTCTTTGACTATTTGTGTTTATTGTCTTGCTTGTTCCTTGACGATTTTTATCTATTGTATTGCTAGTTCCTCAACCTAGAACTGACCTTAATACTTGGATGTAATTAAAATGATATAAAAGCAAAAGGAGGAGGAGGGATAGTGAGTTTATGGGGGGGAGGGGGAATGGGGAAAGGGGATAACATCTGAAATGTAAATACATAAAATATCCAATTTTTAAAAAAAGAAAGAAAAAAAAATAAGGTTCATCTCAAATATTTAGGGAACTCTTACATCCCAGCAGGAAGAAATAAAATAAAAACGTGCGTATTTAAAAGTTAGGTTAAGGATGTGGATAGACAGTTATTCATAGAAGAGCTAGAGGGAGCAGTCAAACCAACAACAACAACAAACTATGGCATTAGGGAGAGAGAAATCAGAACCATCCACAACTGATACTTCATAAGGTGGCCATTAACAAAATGCCAAAGATAAATGCTGGTGTGGTTATGAAGAAAGTGGACTGTTTTCCCTTGTTATGCTAGAATTATGCATCTCTCATGAAAATAAACTTTCCCCAAAGTGGAAATGTCTTGTGATCCAACAGTCACGTGTAACTGACTAGAAAACTTGAAATCTAGATCTAGTAGTTATCTAGAAAACTTGAAATCGGTATTATAAAGTAATACTTGATTTTCTATTGTTCACGGCAGTGTTCCTCACAACAGACAAGTTGCAGAATCAGGCAAATTTCCCATCAAGAGATGAGTAGGTGAAGAAAATTGCATATCCTTGCAATGGAGTATTGTTGAGTTTAGGAAGAAGGACATGTGTTATCTGGTGCAATGAAAGAACTGTAACTCCAGTATTCAGCTGAAATATGCCAGGGCAGGACCAGATACCATGTACTATTTCTGAGGCCTGTATAAATTGTCATGCACTGGAGTGGGAAGCAAAGTGGCTGTTGCCAGGGCCTAAATTAAGTAGGAAATGGACATTTGCTCTTTAGTGATTATAAATTTTCAGTTTTATGCAAGGTTAAGAAAGAAATGTGTAGGGCTAATTGTACTCGGCACTAAAATTTTGTTTAATTGATAGACCTTATCTTTTATCCTCTTCTCTCCATCAGTCGAAAAAGAATATTTGAGGAAATTAGAAGGTCGAAACTTAAACTATGTCAGTTTTTAATCTATACATTTTTGTAGTTTTTAAAGAAAATTAAGAAGGTACAATCCATACATTGTATGATAATGTAATTCTCTAAACAATTTGTAAAAAGGTATACCAGAAATCATTAGTGTTTAATCGAAAAAGAATATTTGAGGAAATTAGAAGATTGAAACTTAAACTCTGTCAGTTTTTATCTATACATTTTTGTAGTTTTTAAAGAAAATTAAGAAGGTATAATCCATACATTATATGATGATGTAATTCTCTAAACAAATTTGTAAAAAGGTATACCAGAAATCATTAATTTAGTGTTTTTCACATGATAATAGAAAACAGAGACCACACTTTACCTTAGTGTAATCCAGTCATAGTAAATTGATCATTTATTAGTGTATTTCATCTATTATAAAACATTAATTTCTTAGAGTCACTGTGTTAAGTATTTTAAGTTCAAAGCATACTACAAAGGTATTCTTTTTTTATTTTTAAGGAGAACATGTTAAAAACAAAACAATAGATCTTATTGATAAAATAAGAATATTGTTTACTTATTGCATCCTAGAAGCTGCGGTCATGTGGAAAGCACAGATATGTCCTCATTGAGTTCATGTTGTAAAATGTGTTCATAAACATAGGTATATACAAGTTGTATTATAGAGCAGTTAGCGGAGAGTAAGCTCTTGAGTAGGCTTAATAGGAAAAGCATCTCAGTTTCATACTTTACTAATGTACAGTATTAAGACTGCGATCTGGAGATAATTATGAAGTAGGCTGGGGTAGCAGAATAAAGGAGTCATTTATGAAAAGTCATCATAACGTTGTTTATTTTAAAAGACAATGAAACAAACTGAAAGAGATAAAGCTTGATCTAAATAAGGATTTCTTAAGCATTTTCATTCCAACTTGACCTTGCCTGAGCCTGCATCCCTCCTCCGTCAGCATGCCCTCAGATGCCTTCACATTGGTGGTAATGACTTCTCCCCATTCTCTGCCTGAATATCACGTCAGAATGATCACTGTGACCCCCTTACTTACTATAAGTCTGAGTGTCTGTGTCTGGCCTGTCAAATTTATCCATCTAACTTGATAGAAGATACAATTTTAAAACTTTGCATTTGACATGTCAATT